TCTGGGCCAGCAGAGCTTTGAGAACAAAGGCCTGTGTGGTCTCCTTCCCTTGCAAACTGCAGGCCCCTCCTCTCCCAGCCCACCAGCCTTGATGGGGTAAGTGGCCCCTGCCCAGCCTAGCAGCCCACTTCAAGGGCCACTGTCTGTTCAGCCTTAGGCCAAACAGGCAAAAGTGACAGGAACACAAGGCAGATGATAGACAGGTGAACAACTGTGGGGCGCAGACACTGTTTATTGAGTGGCAGGCACAGGAGAGGTAGCTGACTCCGGTGTGGAAGCGGAGGTGGCAGGTCATGCCAGGGTGCTGTGGGCATCTGGCAGCCAGGGCCACGCCCCCATCCTAGGGGGACGGCACAAGCTCACTATGACAGGAGCAGCAAGGAGCTGGCCAGAGGAGGGGGCAGCCACGACCCCCAGGATCCTGGGCAAGAAGTGGCAAACTTGGCACAGGGGCTTAGGGTGACGGGGACTGGGGCCTGGGTATTCTGTGGGGGAGGGAAGGGGATCACGTCTGTGGGGTGGAGTAGAGACTGTGGTGGTGGCCACCTGGTCCTGGCACCTGGGAGAAGAGCAGAGGAGTGGTCTTCGTCTGGCTGCCCCCATACCAGCCCGGCTCACGCCCGATGGCGCCATACCAGCTCCCAGAGCCTAGACTGCCTGACATACTGCAGCAGAGAAACAGGGTCAGTCTCAGGACAGTGACCAGGGCCACAGTCACAAGAGCTGCAGGAGGAACAGAGGCTTAGAACAGAACCCCTGTGACCTAGACCTTCGGGGCCCAGGGCAAAGTACATCTCTAGGCAATGGATGGAGGCTTTAGCCATAGGAACCCAGGGGACCTCACCTAGTACAGATGGGGAAGCAAAGGCCATGGCAGGGGTAGAAGGGCAAGACCCGGCTCTCTCAGTCCCCCATAGCTCGATGGAGCCAAGTGGGTGGTGGGGGCAGGGGTACTGAGGCAGTGCCATGGCTCCTACCTGGTGCTCTCACCCCGGCTGTGCTCCCAGGAGCAGCCCTCATCTTCACAGTGCCCAGCCCGGTCAAAGAAGTAGGACCGGGAGGCAAAGACCTGCCCATTGAGGATGTGGCTGGTGCTCTGGAGAAGGAAGCCATCATCGATACTTACTCCTGTCCCACACTGTTCTCCCTGCCCATCCCCAGATGCCAACCCAGGATTCCCAGCATCTGCCCCTCTCCACTGGGCCCACAGGGGAGGGTGCAGACCCTTACCAGGTCCTGTGGGGGCCGGTGTACCCGGAAGAAGCCCACCAGCAGGGTGGTGGGCAGCAGCTCCCACACGAAGAGGATGAGGCCAAATACCAGGTAGCCTTTGTTCCCCAGGTCATTTACCAGGTCCGCCTGTGGGAAGGCAGGGGCTGGTGCCAGTCTGCAGTCACGCCAAGGGGGCAGTGGGACAGGGCCCAGGCCAGCTGGGGCCAAGGTGCCACGGCTACTAAGGAGGTGGCAGACATGCGTATGCCCACCTGATCAGACACATTGTACCAGTCGTAATCGAAGGTGTCCAGTCGGCTCTGGGGGGCCAAGGCCAGTGCTGTCAGGTTGTAGCAGGCCCGGCTGGCATAGAGCAGGACCATGGCTCCACCCATCGCGGCCGCCTGGCACACACTGGTCCCCTGGCACAGGTAACAACAGAGGACCCTCAGGGAGAGAAGGCTCCCAGCTTCCTCTACACCCTGAGAACCGCTGCCCAGAGATCCCAAAGGACACCTGGGCATCAGTGCTGCGGCCCTACCTTGGCCTCCAGGTAGATGCTAGTGGAGGGGGCCCGCCTGGCGACGAGGCAGAGGCAGGCAGCAAGAGACAGCGCACAGATGACGAACAGGGAGTCGCTCACCAGGACGCGGACAAGCAGCAGGGCCCAGGGCTGTGCCCGGCGCCGATGGGAGAGCACAGCACACAGCACGTTCACCAGCAGAAAGAGCAGCGAGGCCCCCACAAAGGCCCCTCGGACAGCCAGCCTGCAGCCACAGCACAGTCAGCCCGGGCCCTCAACAGCCCTCAGTACTCACCACCTGCCCCACCTCCTTCAGGAAACCCCAATGTCCACAGAACTCAGGGCATCCAGTCTGAGCCCTGTTCCTCCATTCTTATAGATGGAGAAACTGAGGCTCAAAGAGGTCAGAAGGTGACTGACAGCCATGGTACCTCGGAAGGGGCACCAACTGGAGTCAGAAGTCTCCGTCTGAGCCCCAGCTCTGCGACCTTGATCCTGATGCCTTACCTGGCTGGGCCTCAGTTTCTTCATCTCTCAAGGGAGGAGAGTAGCCTCTCAGGGAAATTGTACAAATGAAAGATGGCTGGGAAAGCTCTTTATAAACCGTAAGACACTGTACAAATGACGAGGGCATTGCGGCCCCAGGTCACCCAGGAGTGCATATGGCTTTGGTGCTTCCATGGGCTGGAGCCTCCAGCTCACCCTCCATGGTGGATGCCACTGGGTTCCTCTCCCTCACACTACCACAACCATTCCTATTCTTGTGCCTTGCAGATCTGCAACGCCTCTGCTGAGCCATCTGCGCCAGGTGCTTTAACTTTTCCAAGCTCTTCCACAGACATTCCCTGGGTTGTCTTTGTCTCAGCCCTGAGAGGTGGGAAGGGATCTACATGGGACTGTCCCCTGCCCCTGACCTGGAGGTTGAGCCCACCAGTGTCCCGAGTACTTACAAGCCTCGGCTCATCTCCGGCCGACGCTTCGCCTTGGCCTTGAACACCACCTAGGAGCAGAGATGCCCTTCACTCCCGTGGGTCCTTAAGGCTTGCCACCTCCCACCCCCCACCCGGGACCACAGTTGGTTACCTGGGCAAAGTAGAGGTTCATAAGCGTCAAGGTGAAGAACTGCAGGCAGACGGGGCAGCAGTAGAGAAGCCAGAAGGGCAAGGGCCCCAGGCGGTTGGCACGGGGAGTATCTCGGAAGTAGAAGGAGAAGAGAGTGGTACGCAAGGCAGCCCAGAGCAGACAGAGGGCCAGGAACACCGTCTGATAGCTGAGACGCTTGTGCCCATACAGAAGCACCAGCCAGAGCTGGGCATAGACGGAGAAGAAGAGCAGGGCATACAGGGTGGTGTAGGCAGCCGTCAGCCCCAGGGTCACAGCAGGTGGCAGCGCAGGCACCAGCCCGGCAGCAGGCACCAGGCCAGACAGGTTACTCTCCATGTCAGGGAGGGAGGCCTGAATCCCGGAGACAGAGAAGGAGGGGCTGTCGGCAGGGCCAGGGTAATAAATACGGAGGGGTGGGAATTGCAGGGTGCAGAGAGGGAGATGGGGCGCTGAGGAGGAAAGAAGTTGTGGCTGACAGGCCCCTCCTCCTCAACAGAGAGACCCTTGCCCTTGGGGAACACGGGCAGCCTGGGCCCCAGGCCCCTCACTCAGGGGCATGGAAGGGCAGTCTCTTCTCTCCAGGGCAGACCGGGTGGGGGTTGGGGGTGTCTCCTCCCTGGGCCTACCCCAGAGTCAGGGATGGGGGGATGCAGAGGCCCAAGGAGCGGAGTCCCTGGCCTCGGTCGCTCGTGTCGTCCTGGCTGGAGGGGGAGAGCCAGCCGATGCCCGTCGGGTCAGGGCAGCGGCCGCTGCAGGGGGCGCCCAATGCCCCGCTCTCCCCCTCCCCAAGCTGGGGGAGGCTCTCCTCCAGTAATGCGGATGGGGAGGGCCTCTGCCTTCTGTCCTTGTAATTCTCGAAAGCTGCCCCCCGCCCCACCCCCCCCACCGCGTCCACTCTCCAGCCTCAAGGGGCGGGAGGAGGCGGATGCCAGGTCCTCAGGCCGCTGATGGGAGAGCCGGCTCAGGTCGTGGGGACCCGGGGCTCCGGCTCCCCGGCTCCCGCTGCTCCGCCCCCTCCTGCGCCTGCGCGGGCGCTGTTCGCTACGCAAATTGCGCAGGGGCCCGACCGGCTCCGCAGTCCAGCGCCGCACCCGGCGTGAAACCGTACGAGAATTGGCGCGAGCTGCGCCGCTGGCGGGCGCCCGGGGTTACGGGAGGCGGCTGGAGGGCGGCCGAATTGCGGGGGCCGTGCCGCATCCAGGGGGTCCCCGGGTGGGCTGTGCCTGGGCGGTCCGCCTTAACTTGTATGGGGGGCCGCCAATTCCCACGCTCCTCTCTCCTATACCCAAATCGGGGTCGTACCACCCAGCCGGGGGCGGCAACGGATTCCCGTCCCTCGGCCTCTGAAGAAAACTTCCGCCCATAGCCAAGATGGCCCCCGGGCCCCGCCCCCGGGCCTGAACCCGCGGAGCCCCGAATCCCCAGCGCGGGCCCGCCCCCCGCCCCGGCGCGCCCGCGGCCCTGCTCACCTGGCCGGCCGCCTGCCAGGCCTGAAGCCCCCACGGACCCTACGGTCCACCCTCACCGGGTCCCCGGCCCTCCTCCCGCGCCCGGGCAGCCATCCCAGCCAGGGAGGAGGTTCCTCTCCTTATCTCCAGTGCCCCCGAGGTGGCGCGGGAGGTGTCCCCCGAGGCGGGCGGCGCGAAGCTTCCACGCCTGGGAGGAGGAGCGGGGAGCGGGACTTTCCGACCGGGCACCCAGTCCAGGCGGAGCGGTAACAATAGCAACAATAATCGCATCCGACGGCTGAGCTTCAGTTGTGGCTGTGCCAAGCGCCTTCGCCCGCAGTAATCACTCCCTTCACAAAGTTTTCACTGGCTCCTGGGGGAGCTGTCACTATCCCCACTTCACTGGGGGGAAACTAAGGTCCAGAGGGGCTGAAGGACTTGTTGGCAGAAGTGGGTCTCCAGGTTCCAAATGGGGACCCCAGAGAATCCCTCTCCTGCTCCCACACACGTCCAAGGTGTGAGGCAGCGAGGATGTGAGCACCAGGGCTGCAGGAGGGAGAAAAAAGGCTGCGGGCGAGTAGCCGTAGGTCCGGCGGGGGGGCCGGGCCGGGCCGGGTTGACCCCGCCTCTGGACCTACCCGAGTGACGTTCCGAGAGGTGATTGGGCCAGGTCGCTGACAGTTCCCGTTGCCCAAGCAACTAGGGCCGGGAGCCCGGGGTGCAGGAGGGAGGCGGCAGGCCCGGGTCAGGGGCCTCGAGATCGGGCTTGGGGTGAGACCTGTGCGCCGTCACCACGGGCGGGGCGGGGCCTGGGTAGGGGCCTGGGTCCACCAGGGTTCTGAGGGGAGATTGAGGCCCTGAGCCGACAGCATCAGCTCCCTGCCAGGCCAGACCCAGCAGACAAATGAGGGCCCGGGAGGCCTGGCGGGCCTGGGGGCCCTAGGGTGGGAGAGGGAGCCAAGGGTACCTACCTCTGCCTTCCAGGGCCACCGTTGGCCCCAGCTGTGCCTTGACTACCTAACATCTTGTCCTCATAGCCCAGAGCATGTTCCAGATCCCAGAGTTTGAGCCTAGTGAGCAGGAAGACTCCAGCTCTGCAGAGAGGGGCCTGGGCCCCAGCCCCGCGGGGGACAGGCCCTCAGACTCCGGCAAGCATCATCGCCAGGCCCCAGGCCTCCTGTGGGACGCCAGTCACCAGCAGGAGCAGCCAACCAGCAGCAGCCATCATGGAGGTAAGTACCCCACCACCTCCACCTGCCGGGTCACCTCACCCCCAGCCCACTGGCTCCCTGCATCCCAGTTGTATCCACGGGCACTGAAGGCTTTGGGTCGGTCCCTAACCTCTCAGAGCCCCAGTTTCCTCTTTTGTAAAACAGAGCAATTAATAACCACCATTGTAGGACTGTTGAGTTAATTAGCAGGAACATATAGGATGCACTTGATTACAGAGCTGGTGCACATTAAAGCTAAAAAATGGTAGCTGCCAGGCATGACGGATCACACCTGTAATCCCAGCACTTTGGGAGGCCAAGGCAGGAGGATCGCTTGAGCCCAGAAGTTCAAAGCCAGCCTGGGTGACTTAGGGAGACTCCATCTCTTAAAATATGTATATATATATATGGCAGCTATTAGTGTGGGGCCAGGACAGAAATTAGTGACAGGCAGGCAGGCAGTGATCCGAAAAGGAAAAGGGGCCTACCTAAGGCCATACCTGCCTGGCATTTCTTTCCTTAGAAGGTGGGGGCTGGAAGACTCCTTGGTGCCCTGCCCCAGGCTACATGCTTTCCCTGGGATTGGGCCTTCCAGCTCCCAGATGTGTTCTTTCTTGCCCCGAGGCTTGCGCCCACAGCAGGCCTGTCCTGGCACAAAGGCCAGGGGCAGGTGACCTCAAGGGGCAGACGGTCCTCCCAGACAGCAGGGCTGTGTGGGGTGGGAAGCACAGGCTCCAAGATGGAAGGATAGACACTGGGGTTCAGTGTCCATTTCTCAGTAGGCTCCACCACCCCTGTGCCCAGCACTGGCCTTGGCACCTGGAACAACAACATATATCTTCTGAACACAAAAACCAGGTCAAGCCAGGTGGGGTGGCCCATGTCTGTAGTCCCAGCAGCTCAGGAGGCTGGCTTGAGCCCAGGAATTCAAGACCAACCTGGGCAACATAGCCAGACCCCATCTCTAAAAATAGAAAACTAGGTCATGTCACTCTGGCACTGAAGCTTAAACGACCTCCTTCCCATTTTCAGGATTAAGAAGGCTTAAGAGGCCTCCCCTCCCTCTCTTACGCACAAACACACACACTCAATTCTCTCAGATTGGATCCCATAGCTTGCTTTCTTTTTTTGTTGTTGTTGTTTTGTTTGTTTTGAGACAGGGTCTCGCTCTATCACCTAGGAGGGAGTACAGAGGTGTGGAGTACAGAGGTGTGACCTCAGCTCACTGCAGCCTAGAACTTCTGGGCTTAAGCGATCCTCCCACCTTACCCTCCCAAGTAACTGGGAATACAGGTGTGTGGACTACACCTAGTTAATTTATTTTTAACTTTTTCTTTTTTTTTTTTTCTGAGACAGAGTCTCACTCTGCCACCCAGGCTGGAGTGCAGTGGTGCAATCTCAGCTCACTGCAACCTCCGCCTCCTGGGTTCCAGCAATTCTCCTGCCTCAGTCTTTCAGGTAGCTGGGACTACAGGCATGTGTCACCATGCCCGGCTAATTTTTTGTATTTTTAGTAGACATAGGGTTTCACCATGTTAGCCAGGGTGGTCTCTATCTCCTGACCTTGTGATCCGCCCGCCTCGGCCTCCCAAGGTGTTGGAATTACAGGCGTGAGCCACCACGCCCGACATTTTTCATGTTTTCATTAGAGACGAGGGCAGGGGCGGGTCTCCTTTTGTTGCCCAGGCAGGTCTCAAACTCCTGGGCTCAAACAATCCTCCTGCCTCAGCCTCCAGAACAGCTGGGACCACAGGTACATGCTGCCACACCAGCTCATTTTTTATTTTTTGTAGAGGTGGGGTCTTGCTTTGTTGCCCAGCCTGGTCTCGAATTCCTGGGCCCAAGCGATCCTCTCATCTTGGCCTCCCAGAGTGTTGGGATTACTGGCGTGAGCCACCATGCTCGGCCTCCACAGCTTTCTTTAACTTTCTGAGCTTGCACTTGGCTGTTTTTCTGCTCACAAACTCCCCCTGCTTTCTGCCCCCCGCCACACACACTCAGCATTGACTTGTGTCTCAGAGTGAGTGTTCACCATGTGACACAGGTTGTTCCAGTTGCTAGGGGGACCTCGGTGAACCCAAGCATCAGGAATCCTTGCCCTCGTGGAGCTTACGTTCTAGTGACGTGGTGGGTCCATAAGCAAACAAGCACAAAAGTGCATCCTATCATGGATGAGAAGATTTGTATGGGGGCAGCATGTAAGAGTTAAAAGAAGCTGGGCACGGAGGCTTACACCTGTAATTTCAACACTTTGGGAGGCTGAGGCAAGCGGATCACAAGGTCAAGACATGGAGACCAGCCTGGCCAACATGGTGAAACCCCATCTCTACTAAAAATACAAAAATTAGCCAAGCATGGTGGCATGCACCTATAGTCCCAGCTACTCAGGAGGCTGAGGCAGGAGAATCACTTGAACCCGGGAGGCGGAGGTTGCAGTGAGCCAAGATCACACCACTGCACTCCAGCCTGGCAACAGAGTGAGACTCCGTCTCAAAAAAAAAAAAAAAAAGAGTTAAGAGAATCCAGAGTCACGGGGCTGGGGGAGTGATGGTAGCAGAGGTGGTCAACACTCACTTGGTGAGAAGCACCACTGGAACCAAGGCCACAGGGATGATGGGAAGAGAGTTCCAGGCAGAGGGAAGGGCAGGTGCTAAGGCCCTGAGGGCAACACCTGCTCCCAGCTAGGGTGGGCCTAGAGGAGGGGGTTAGGAAAGGGTCTTTGGAGACCTAAAGTTGGAGGTCATTGTAAGGACTCTGACTTTGCCTTTGGGTGAAAACCTGGAAAGGCTTTGAACAGAGGCAGCATGGTCAGATTTAGACATTCAGAGAGTCACCAGGGAGGTGGTGAGAAGTAGCTGGCCTCTGGATTTATTTATTTATTTATTTATTTATTTATTTATTTATTTATTTTGAGATGGAGTCTCGCTCTGCCGCCCAGGCTGGAGTGCAGTGGCCGGATCTCAGCTCACTGCAAGCTCCGCCTCCCGGGTTCACGCCATTCTCCTGCCTCAGCCTCCCCAGTAGCTGGGACTACAGGCGCCCGCCACCACGCCCGGCTAGTTTTTTGTATTTTTAGTAGAGACGGGGTTTCACCGTGTTAGCCAGGATGGTCTCGATCTCCTGACCTCGTGATCCGCCCGCCTCGGCCTCCCAAAGTGCTGGGATTACAGGCTTGAGCCACCGCGCCCGGCCTATTTATTTATTTTTTTTTTAATTTTTATTTTTTTGTTGAGACAGAGTCTCGCTTTGTCGCCCAGACTGGAGTGCAGTGGCCGGATCTCAGCTCACTGCAAGCTCCGCCTCCCGGGTTCACGCCATTCTCCTGCCTCAGCCTCCCTAGTAGCTGGGACTACAGACGCCCGCCACCTCGCCCGGCTAGGTTTTTTTGTATTTTTTAGTAGAGACGGGGTTTCACCGTGTTAGCCAGGATGGTCTCAATCTCCTGACCTTGTGATCCGCCCGTCTTGGCCTCCCAAAGTGCTGGGATTACAGGCTTGAGCCACCGCGCCCGGCCCTGGATTTATTTTTAAAGCAGAACTGGCAGGATCTGCTGATGGACTGGATGTGGGGTGCGAGGGAAAGAGAGGAACCAGGATGATGCCAAGGAATTTTAAAAAAATTATTAGGCTGGGAGCGGTGGCTCACACCTGTAATCCAAGCACTTTGGGAGGCCCAGGCGGGCGGATCACGAGGTCAGGAGATCGAGACCATTCTGGCTAACATGGTGAAACCCTGTCTCTACTAAAAATACAAAAAAAAATTTAGCCGGGCGTGGTGGTGGGCGCCTATAGTCCCAGTTACTTGGGAGCCTGAGGCAGGAGAATGGCGGGAACCCGGGAGGCGGAGTTTGCAGTGAGCCGAGATCACACCACTGCACTCCAGCCTGAGACAGAGCGAGACTGTCTCAAAAAAAAAAATTATTGTTGGCTGGGCGCGGTGGCTCATGCCTGTAATCCCAGCACGTCGGGAGGCCGAGGCGGGCAGATCACTTGAGTTCAGGAGTTCAAGAGAGCCTGGCCAACTTGGTGAAACCCTGCCTCTACTACAAAAACACAAATTAGCCAGATGTGGTGGTGGACAACTGTAATCCCAGCTACCTGGAAGGCTGAGGCAGGAGAATCACTTGAACCCAGGAGGTGGAGGTTGCAGTGAGCTGAAATTGTGCCACTGCACTCCAGCGTGGGTGACAGCAAGATTCCATCTCAAAAAACAAAAAATAAATAAAAATAAAATAAATTATTATTAATTTTAGAGATAAGGTCTTGCTATGTTGGCCAGGCTGGTCTTGAACTCCTGGCCCCAAGTGATCTTGGCCTCCCAAAGTGCTGGGATTACAGGCATGAGCCACAGAGCCCAGCCAACACCAAGGAATCTGGCTTGAGCATCCAGTAAGATGAAGTTGCTTTTAATAGAGAAGAAACACTGAAGGGTGGGGAAGGATCTGGAAGCCACCCTAGAGGGTGGGCTAGAGGTGGCTTTTTTTTTTTTTTTTTTTTTTTGGAATGGAGTCTTGCTGGGATTACAGGCATGTGCCACCATGCCCAGCTAATTTTTGTATTTTTAGTAGAGACAGGGTTTCACCATGTTGACCAGGCTGGTCTCGAACTCCTGACCTTGTGATCCACCTGCCTAGGCCTCCCAAAGTGCTGGGATTACAGGCATGAGCCACCACACCCGGCCACTAGAGGTGGATTTTAAGCATCTGGTGGGATTTTTAGCAGAGTGCTAGTGGGAGCTGGCCGGGAGTTAGAGTCAATCAGAGTCGTGCTTGTCTCAGCCCAGTTAGGGGTAGGGGCTTCAAGTGTGTGCAAAGGAAGGAAGGGTAGGTGTGGGGTCCAAGCTGGCTGAGCTTCAGGGAAAGTAGCAAGCCCTGGGAAGCCGCAGCATGGTTGGAGTTGGGGTCCCAGGGGTATGATCCACACAGGTCGGGTCAGCTGGTGGGAAGCTTGGGATGGAGTTATTTGATGGTGACAAGGCCTAGGTTATGTCCCTGGGAATGAGTCTGAGGGGAGAGTGGGACA